CCCGCTCTGAGGTGTCCCCGCTCTGAGGTGTCCCCGTTCTGAGGTGTCCCGCTCTGAGGTGTCCCCGCTCTGAGGTGTCCCGCTCTGAGGTGTCCCCGTTCTGAGGTGTCCTGCTCTGAGGTGTCCCCGTTCTGAGGTGTCCTGCTCTGAGGTGTCCCCGCTCTGAGGTATCCCTGCTCCAGGTCCCGTGTGAGGCGTCACTGCTGCATTGAGAGGTCAGGGGGCTGAGGTTCCGGATGTGAAGGAAAGCTCCGGCCCACGGTGAAAGATCCAAGACTGCCCCGAGCACATCGGGAGAGCGCCAGAGGAGCCCCTGGCTGTTGTGCGCCCTCCTCCCCACGGAGCAGTGGCTCTGGCACTACCATGCCATGTCATGTCCCGGCCCTGCTGCCCCTCTGAGTCACTGCCCTGAGCCTCTGGCCCGGGTTTGTCATTAGACTGGCTGTAGTCTCTGCACTGACTTCTGCTCTTGTCTCTCAACAGGAAGACAACATGGCCTTTGGAAAGCCTGCCAAGTAAGTGAATAGTCTTGTGTCGAGATCTAGGGCCAGGTTCCTCCTGCTCCGAGCAACAGGCCAGGCCCTGTGAGACGCAGCAGGAGCCAGCACCCTGAGGACAGTCAGAGCCCGTTAGCACACGGTGCCCTGTATGGGCACCCCGTGTGTCAGTGCCTGTCTGGACCTCATCCTGTAGACCGTCCCAGGTCTTGCCTCGGTTCAGGGAGGTCGTGTTTTCAACTCTGTGGCACGGGAGTACAGAAAAGGACGGGACTCAGGCAAGGTCACACAGTTAGGAAGCATCAAAGCCGCCTCTATGCAGCCAAGTCTGCCTTTTGTTTTGTTTTGTTTTGTTTTTGTTTTTTTGAGACAGGGTTTCTGTGTAGTTTTGGTGCCTGTCCTGGATCTCACTCTGTAGCCCAGGCTGGCCTCGAACTCACAGAGATCTGCCTGGCTCTGCCTCCGAGTGCTGGGATCAAAGGTGTGCGCCACCACCGCCCAGTAAGTCTGTCTTTCTGTGTAGCCTGGAGTCCTTCTAGCCTGGGGAACAAGCAGCCATTTAGGAAGAGGAGGCTGCTTGGGATTCCGCCACAGCTCTGCTTGGAGGGCGTGAAAGCCGCTCAGGCCCTTTGCGAGCAAAGTTTCACCCAGGCTTGTCTTTCTTTTCTTCCTTGTTTATTTATTTATTTTATGTGCATTGGTGTGCCCTTGGAACTGAGTTGTGACAGTTGTGAGCTGCCATGTGTGTTCTGGGAACTGAACTCAGGTCCTCTGGAAGAGCAGCCAGTGCTCTTAACCGCTGAGCCATCGCTCCAGGCCTTGTCTTTATTTATTACTTCAGCCCTGGGTGGTTCCTGTAACTCTGGGCCTGGTGACAGTGCGTCAGAACTACAGCAGGTGTCCTGTGGCCCAAAGCTAGCCAGGAAGCTGCTGGACGAAGTGGTTTCCTCAGGCAGGTGGAGATGTAGTTCTGGGGCTTCTTTGGGCTGGTTTTCAGAGTGTTTTAGTTGTTTAATTTTCCTATTTCCAAAGGCAGTTTTAAGGACAACCTGCTCCAAGCAGGAGCCCCGAGTCCCTGAGCCTCATAGTCCAGGCCCCGGTGGTTTCTCACTGCCACGACCGCTGGTGATCCCCTGTCATTGTCCCGTCCTCCCCCCCCCCCACACACACACACTTCTGCCTGAGGCCCCCGGGACGCTCTGCTGCTTCCAGCAGCCACTCCGACCTGCCTGGTGCTCAGGGCTTCGCTCTGCCAGCTTCTTTCCCACTCTAGCCAGCTGAGTTGGGGAGACGCTGCTGCTGGGTAAAAACCACCTCAGTGCGACATCCGCATCTCCTGCCTCAGCTGCCCGTTCATTCCCCACACCTTGTTTTCTCCTGAGTCCTCCAGGACTGCTCAGTCGCTTATTTCTGGGACACACCGTACAGTTTATGCTTCCCACGTCTATCAAGCTGTTCCCACAGCCCCCAGTGCTGACCGAAACCCTCTTCCATCAGCCTAGACTCAGGTGTTCCCTCTGTCTTCATCCATTCAGGTTGCCATGACAAAATGGCATTGAGTGGGTGGCTCCTTCACAACAAAAATGTCTCAGCTCTGGAGAGTAGGAAGGCCGAGAGCAGGGTGCGGGTACACTCAGTGCCTCACGGGGCCACAGTGCCTCCCTGTACCCACACGTCATGAAAGGAGTGGAGGGACCTGTCTTTAAGGTCACTGACCCCACTCAGAAGGGAGTTCCTCAGGTTAGGATTTCAACACAAGAATAGGGGGACAGCCTGTGGCGGTGGCGGGCGGTGGCAGCGCATGCCTTTAATCCCAGCACTTGGGAGGCAGAGGCAGGCGGATCTCTGTGAGTTCGAGGCCAGCCTGGGCTACAGAGTGAGATCCAGGTCAGCCAGGGCTACACAGAGAAACCCTATCTTGAAAAACTAAAAAAAAAAAAAAAATAGGAGATAAACATTCAGACCACACGGCACTCTAGACCAGTCGGAGTCTTCCCAGGAGCCATCACGGCACTGCGGTCTTGCCGGGTCACAATTGTCTCACTTTTTGGAGAGATGTGAACAGACTTGTTGTTCACCCCAAATTGGACACTGATTGTACCCAAATGGAGCTTCATGAGCCTGCATTTACTGGGGTCACTTACAGGAGTGCAAGTGTCCCAAAGTCTGTCCACTGACACCCAGAAAAGTTCACATGGTGGGCGCAGCCCATGAGGCGTGCGTATTCCTACCCCTGCATTTCCTGCAAGTCACGCTGGCACCCGGGCATTCAGAGTCTCTTCTCCCTAGCAGCTGCTCCACCTTGTAGACCCTGGGGAGGAAGGGCCTTGAGAGTTTTGTTCAGGAGTTTCCTGAGCCACGCGAGGCTTCTTTATTATCTCCCTGCTTCCCTCCAGAAGAGAATGTTTCTACTGGGAGGAAAGAGCCACACCACAGTAGACCTGGACCTGGTTCACCCCACAGCCTTGGCACCCCATGGAGAGCATTCATAAATCTGGAAGGCCCCAAAGGGGCAGGGCCAGTCCCAGAACATTCCCTTTTCCCTCAGGTTCTGGAAATTGGACCCCGCCCAGGTGTACGCCAGTGGCCCCAATGCGTGGGACGTGGCTGTGCACGACGCCTCTGAGGAGTACAAGCACCGGATGGTAGGTGGGAGCGAACGGGTGGGGCCCCTCCCCGGCCCCTCTCTCCCCTCCCCTCCTCTCCCCCCTCCCCCAGCGCGGTCTGACCCGGCTGCTCTTGTGTCTGCAGCACAATCTCTGCTGTGACAACTGCCACTCACACGTGGCCCTGGCCCTGAACCTGATGCGTTACAACAACAGTACCAACTGGAACATGGTGACGCTCTGCTTCTTCTGCCTCATCTATGGGAAGTACGTCAGGTGAGCTGTCCTCACACCTGCAGGCTCCCCAGGCCGCTCTCCCAAGGATCCTGGAAAGGCAGTCACTGGAGTCCTTCAGTCTCCAGGGACAATGGGAACAGACTCTGGGTTCTACTCAGAAGCGACCGAGTTCCTGGTGGGGAGCAAGGTGGCCTCTACCAAAGTCCTACTCCACACGCGTTCCAGGTCACCTGTCACTAGCCCCTGCGAGGTTCTGGGTAGCTGCTTCTGGGCTAGAGCCGTCCCTGATAAGGGCGGTAGTGGTTCTGGCTCCTGGGGAAGCTATGAGTGTCCGGGTGTTGAGATGAACACATCTCATGGAGAGTGTTTCCCCCTCCACAGCCCCCGCCCCATGGCCTCTGTCAGAGGCAGGCTTCTGGACAGCTGAGCTCCTAGTCTAGGCAGGCCTTTGAAGCCACAGCCTCGTGACCTGTGAGATTTAAGACATTTATCTCAGTTCACACTGAGAGAACTCAGGGTGGGTGAGTTCTCTGTGTCCCACAGCAGAGCCCAGACTTAGGAACCATCTCACATTTGAGCTGATCCCCTGCCTCCCAACTTTGTTCTTCATTGTGCTCATCATTAAGAGCTTCTGGAAGGGAAATTCTCAGGGGGCTTCTTTGCCCCTAGAAAAGAACATAACTGGGCACAGGATCGAGGCAGAGCCAGGCTTGAGACTCTGTACATTGGCTTCCTTCCTTGGCCTCCATAGTAGGCATCAGACCCTGTCCCTTGGCTGACCAAACTGAGGAGTAAGTTCAGGAGCCTCCTAGGGACCTAAGCCCTGTCAGGGTTGGGGCAGGAGGGCATTCTGGGCCACCGGCCTGCTCACTGACCGCGTCCCTGTGCTCTCCTGGCAGTGTTGGCGCCTTCGTGAAGACCTGGCTGCCCTTTGTCCTTCTCCTGGGCATCATCCTGACCGTCAGCCTCATCTTCAACCTGCGGTGATGGCCCCCGGGAGGCCCCGCCACCACCACCCCGGTCCCAGTTCTGCAGTGATGGCCCCCGGGAGGCCCCGCCACCACCACCCCGGTCCCAGTTCTGCAGTGATGGCCCCCGGGAGGCCCCACCACCACCACCCCGGTCCCAGTTCTGCGGTGATGGCCCCCGGGAGGCCCCGCCACCACCACCCCGGTCCCAGTTCTGCGGTGATGGCCCCCAGGAGGCCCCGCCACCACCCCGGTCCCAGTTCTCTTATTACCACCCTCAGACAGTTAGCTTCCTGGGTTGAAGTAGGGTCAGGGCTTGGGATGGAAGTGCTGAGGTAGAGTGTGAGATGAGGCCACTTAGAGCCTCCTTGTCCTCTCTCCCTGGGCTTGTGACCTCACCCTTGTGGTATCCCCATTGCTGTCCTGGGAAGGCCTTCCCTTAGAGCGCCTCCCGCCACAGTCCCTGGGCTGTTTCTGCCGTGCCCAGGACACGGCGAGGACTCGGTGGGCAGAGCTGGATTTGAAGCTGCCTCTGGCTGGTTGTCAGGTCCAGAAGTGGGGTGTGGTGTTCTGAGAAGCGCTATGAGCCAAGAGACTTGGAACCTTCTTCCTTCTCTGCTGGCCTAGAACGGACTCGAAGGGCTGGCTAGGCTCTTCCCATGTCTCTAGAGCTGTGCCATAGTGTGCACCCTATCACCCTCATCTGGGCCCTGGCTAGCAAGGTGGACGGCCTTACATGCAGAGTGGGTCCCCTGTAAATCAGGTAAGGTGAATCCCACTTGTTTCTAGCCCAGGGATAGAACCCCTTATGTCCAAAGTGTGAGTAACTCCAGAGCAGCTGGAGCACCGTGGATCGGCTGGCTCTACTTCCGGTTCCTGGCTCTACTTCCGGTTTCTGCTGTGGGTCCTGTGCAGCCTGCCTCACCCCGCTCCTTTATAAGGGGCTCCCTGGCAGGAAATAAAGTTTCAAGTCCAGGTGTCTGTCATTTTCTTCTGCCCCGCCCCCACACACACCCCGGATTCCGTAAGCCCATATATCCCTGGGTCCTGGGCAGAGGGGTCTGCTTACTAACAACATGTCGGAGCCTTTCCAACTGGAACTTAGAGGCACATCAACATTTTGTAAATTCTGCCACTGCACAGGCTGTGGGAAGTCCCTGCCACTCCTGGTCTGGGTTCCAAGTTTCCTTCTAGAAGGAAATCTTCCATCTTCCCTATTGGGAAGAGCTTGGCAATAGGATTGGAGTTGGGAGTGACCTGCATCCTCAGCCGGGGGTGCACAGCTGGAGTAAACAAGAGGAATGGCAGCCCTTGGCCATGTGTGTGTGGTGGCCATGTTGAGCTCCCCATGTTTACCCCACAGTCATGTCACTGACTAGCTTGCTCCTCGGTTCCTTTTTCTATGGTTGCCAGGGTTCTCCATGTTCCTCACCACATACCAGTGTGTACTCAACTCTGACCCTTTGCTTTCCACCAAAGCCCAGCTTAAAGGCTGTTTCCAGGACAGCCTGTGACTCTGACAGCCCTTGTCCAGCATGGCCTTGGGTTCCACCCCAGCACTCAAACGCTGGCCCTTGTTACAGAGCTGCAGGCAGGGAGCCCCCCGACAGCCTTGTAAGGCGGGCACTATCAGGCCCACGTGGCAGATGAAGAAATGGGCACCCACGTGACTTGTCCAAGTTCAGGGGAAGCAAGAGACCCAAAAGCCAGCAGAGCCCACCTAGAAAAGACACTTGGGCCTGAAAACAGGCAAGACTGGATACCTTCCAGGGGTGCTGGGAAGTGAGAGGAGGGTGTAGGTGGCCACCAGGGTGACCACTCCCACAAGGGGCACAGTGGAAAGCACATGTATAAATGCATGCTTTCCCTGACTGCCTCCATCCTACACATGTATTATCTGAGAATCTGGGGTTCGCTCAATAGTGGTGAAAACCAAAAATGATTACCAGCCGACTTAGAGAAGGAAAAAGAAACTGAAAACAAGACTGGCGGAAACAAGTCAGGGTGAGCAGTAGCTCAGAAGTCAGGAGCCCTGGCTGTTTTTCCAGAGGATGGTGGCTCACAACCGTCAGAACCAGAGTGAAAATGAATACCTAGAAAGTGGGGCCGGAGGAGTGACAGCAATTAGCAAAGACTGCTCCTCCGGAGGACCAGATTCCAGCTCCACATGGCACCTCACATCTGTGACTCCAGTACAGGGGGTCCAGTGCCCGCTTCTGGCCCCCACAGGCACCAGACACACCCCTAATGCACAAACATACATGCAGGCAGAACGAACGAACATCCATACACAAAAACATTCAAAAGCAAGCAAGCTTGAAGACCACCAAAGCCCAGAGAGTTACTTAACAGCCAAGACTGACGGCCTGAGTTCGATCCCTAGAACCCACATAAAGGGGGAAGGAGAGAAGACTCCTGTGAGGTCTTCTGACCTCCACATGCACCCAGATAAAATGTAAAACAAAAACCAAACAACTTTTAAAGGGGGCTAAAGGTCAGGTGGTGGCGCATACCTTTAATCCCAGCACTCGGGAGGCAGAGGCAGGTGATCTCTCTGAGTTCGAGGCCAGCCTGGTCTACAGAGTGAGATCCAGAATAGCCAGAGCTATACAGAGAGACTCCGTCTCAAAAAAAAAAAAAAAGGTGGGGCGGGGGGAGGTAGAAGAGGTAGCTCAACACTTCAAAGCACCTGTTGCTCTTGCAGGAGGTGTGGCTCACAACCATCTATAACTCTAGTTCCAGAGTCTGACCCCCTCTTGTGGCTCCCTTGGGCACCAGGCACTCGTGTGTTTTACATACACATATGTAGTCAAAGCATTTATACACACAAAAGGACAGAGGTGGCCTCCAGTACCTAAGACCAGAATGTGAAGAGCTACAGAACATCATGATCCCAAAAGCCATGTACTCTAAGACCCAAAATAGATTCTCCTGAGCAGGATGTGGAACTCGATGGTGAGAATTTGGGCTCCTCCGCTGCTGGCACTGGAATCCGGAGCCCTTCAAACACCCTGGGGGTGAGAGGAGACATGGATGGTTCTGTGAACATGGATGCTCAGAGGTGCTAAAGTGGCCATGGGCATTGGTCTGTTGGAGAGGGGATACCTGGCATCCACGACATGCCATCTGTACCAGGCACCTGTGTGCCATCTGTACGTCTCTGGGTTCCACTCTCCAGTTGGCACAGAAGGAAACGATTGCTCAGAGGGGTTAAGACACCTGCGCAAAGCCTCACGGTGCTGGAGCCAGGCCTCCGGCCTAGTGGCAACTCTACAATCTTCCCGTTACTGTAGTTCTTAGAAAAGTTTCTAACTTTGCTTCCAAAGAGTTTCCTCTTGGCCCTCTGTGGCAGAATGGCTCTGCTACCCAGTCCACAGATGGGCCAGCCAAGGCCCTGCAGGTGAGGCATGCTTCAGTTACGGGACAAATCTACAGGACAGCTGGGCCCAGCCCCAGGGGCGGCACACCTGGCCCTGGGTTCCCTGGCAGCGGCTGTGGGTGCACCAGCGCACCTGGGGAGCTGCAGTCCAGGCCCGGTTTTGCACCAGGCCCTGCCGAGGCGTCTCCTCCTCCTCCACCTCCTCAGGGCTGGGGCAGCTGCAGCTGGGCGAGTCAGCCTTAGTCCTCACTGCTCTTCTGGGCTCTGAAACTCCTTCCTGGAGAGCTGGAGTTGCTCTGGAAGTTGTCCTCCCTTCCGGACCCCTACAGGTAACACACCCCTGCCAGTGGTCTAGGGGATGGGCACAGCCACCTGGTGTCCTGAGCATACTCTGGCACCTTGGGGGCTCGGGGGTGGGCGAAGTTCGAGCAAGTTTATGACTCTGGCCTGCCCAGGCAGATTGACATACTTTTTTTGTGTGTGTCACCAAAGGGTCTGTCCCGTGATGTTAGTACAGGGTGGGGACACCAGGCGCTTGACCTGCTTCTGAAAGAGAGGGAAATTGAGGTAGAGAGAACCCGGGCTTGGAGGCTCCCAGCCCGGACCAAGCAGACCTGTAAGACAAGGCCAGGCCCAGAGCTGCCAAATGTCCCTCCAGCTTCACGCTCAGACACATCTGGTGGTCCCCGGGGCTCTAGAGCACACACCTCCACATTGCCTGAGCTGGCCAACCACACAGGAAGACATGCATACACCCACACGTCGCCCCCCACCCCACCCTGCAAGGCGTAGTTACACAACAACACTGCACTTAGGCTCAGATGCTGTGCGGTTCCCTGTCAGATGCAGACATGTCTACCCTGTTAACTCAGCAGTTAACACAACCCAGCAATGCTCATCCACAGAAGAGTCCCAAGCTGGCTTCGTAGCTGGCACCTGGAGCACAGCCATGCAGGGAAATAGTCACTGTAGGTATTGCCGGCATCTGCCCAGGGCTATGTAGATGCAGATGTACAGAAACCCCCGGAGGGAAAGCAGGCTAGGAGAGGAGGCTGGCTTGCTGTGCTTGGACACTGACTCAGCCTGGAGTCGGCGGCAGGGGCAGGAGGAGACAGGCACAAGCCAGGACCCGCCCCTGAGCTCCTCTAGTCCCCCTTCAGCCCCACCTGGAGGCCTGGCATGGAAGGGGTGGGAAGGAGAGAGTGCCCAGGGGGCCCAGGCCGGCACCAGTTCTGAGTGCTGGGCCCTTGCCACGTCCACACGCCCCTCTCAGCTGGCAATGTTTTCCTTCCGGAGTGGCTGTGGTGCCTAGGCATGAGTTGTTTGGCCAGCTGAGGCCTCCAGCCAAGTTTGGGGGTTGGGAGGCCCCTGTAATCAGAGGGGCTCCGAACCTCCTCCCAGCAAGAGGGCAGGGCTGTTGGGCTGTTGGCGGGGAACCCCAGGGCGGGTGGCCTCAGTGGAATTGGGTGCTGCGGTTACCTTGCGGGGGGAGGAAGTTGGGGGTGAGGGCTGGGGAGAAGGTTGCCTCACACAGGAAGGCCAAATGGGCCAGGGCGGGGTGGAGGGAGGCGAAGGCAGAGGCAGGCTGCGTTGGGAGGCTCCCTGGGTAGGGGTATAAACATGAGTGGTGGAGAAGGCTGGGTGTGCACTTACATGTTTGTGCAGGTATATTTTCGCATTTCACTAAGAATCAGGTTAGGCTGTGTGCACAGTACTGACTTTGTGGGGGAATGAGCGGTCCTTGGCTTCAAGGAGTTCCCAGCCGGGTTAAATGGGCAGTGTGTGTGTGAGGAAAGCCAGAGAGATCTGTGGATATGCAGGGACTTATTCTTGTACCTGAGTGGGCACTTGGTGTGCACACACTGTGTGCAGGTTTAAGAATACTGTGCACAGCTCTTGGGCTCGGGTCTCTTGTGTATGTGTGCACAATCCTGTCATGGAGATGTGTGTACATTACCTGTCTTTGTCCAGGTATCCGTGTACCCGTATGACTGTGTGTAGAACAGTGGGTACATGTATCAGTGTGTACTGGCTTGCAGTTCTCCGTGTGTCCTAGGGGTATGTGCATGGGTGTTCTGTAGGCTTCTTACAGTGTATCCCCCACACCGCACCTCACCTTGACCTGGCCTTCCTTCCATTGCTCCTTATTGCTCAGGTATGTGCTTGGGAGAAAACAGGCCGTTGGTTCCAGGATGTACTGTGTATCTGAGAAGACACTGACCCTTGGTCTATCCCCCAGGAAGCCGCATATGCCCAGCTGGGGCACAACCCCAGCTGATGCCCCAGAGAGGCCACACATCTCAGGAGAGGCTTTGGGCCCTGCCCTTCCTCCCCATGGCACATGGGCCAGAACCTGAAGCTGAGGGATTGCTGGACCTCAGCTTCCTGACAGAGGAGGAGCAGGAGGCCATCGCTGATGTCCTCAAACGAGATGCCCGCCTGCGCCAACTGGAGGAGGGGCGGGTCAGGTGAGACAGGACAGCCACCAGCCAGAAGGAAGGGGTCCTGGGTCCTTGGAGGCTGCCTGTTGGGTCTGGGTGGTCCTGGCCTCTACCCTTTGGTCTCCACTGACCTTGGCCAGCTCAGAGCTCATCACTTCTCCCAAACCTGTACCACGTCCTCCTCAAGCCTCCCTGTCTCTGGGCTTTCCCACTCTAGTCACTACCTTGGGACAGGACACTTTGGTGGACAGACACCACCTGTCCTTAATACTCTGCTGGAGCCTGTGTGTCCAGGGGTCACCCATTTTCCTCTAAGCCTCACCCAGATATACATGATCGTGCTCTAGCCATGCAGTGCTTCCCAATCCCGGAACGCTCTTCCAAGCCTAAGATGTCCCTTCTCCCCAGAAGAGCAGCAGAGGCAAAGGACCTCAAGAGTGACCAGCACTGTGTGGGACCGCTGTGTAAACCTGGGCGGCTGCCTTTACCCTGAACTTCACCTTTCTCAGCTAAAACAGACTAAGGGGCCGGGGAGATGGCTCCATAGGTGAAGCCATGGCATAGTCTTGAGGAGGGGTTCAGCTCTCCGGCACCCACATAAATGCCAGGGCGCTATGGTGGCGCGCCTGTAGTCCCAGCACTCGGGTAATCGTGATGGAGAATTCCTGGAGCAAGCTGTCTAGCTAGGCTCACCAAATCAGTGAGCTCTGGATTCAAGTGAGAGGCCTTGCTTCAATATGTAGGGCGGAGAGAGCTGAGCTAGAGAAGGACGGGCCAACCAGCTCTGACCTCCACATACATGGGAACATACACACATGCATGCAGACCACACATACATTACATGTACGTGTGCAACAAATAAACTATCAGGCATGGCCCACGATAACTGCCTCATGAATGATCATTATGCTTTTCAACCTGGAGAATTCCAGTTTATCCTTTAAGAAGTGATTTGTGCCAGGAGGTGGTAGCGCACGCCTTTAATCCCAAAACTCTAGGAGGCAGAGGCAGGCTGATCTCTGTGAGTTCAAGGCCAGCCTGGTCTACAGATCTAGATCCAGGGCAGGCACCAAAACTACATAGAGAAACCCGTCTCAGGAAAAGAGAGAGAGAGAGAGAGAGAGAGAGAGAGAGAGAGAGAGAGAGAGAGAGAGAGAGAGAGAAATGATTCGCACAAAAGGTCCCCTCACCTCCATCACCGTCCTTGTCTTTTCTGGATTCTGACTACTAAGGGTAGCCTGAGTGACCCCAGGACAAGGATCAAGTGTGATTTGCTGCTGAGCCCCGGGCCCTAGTCCAGAGTGGGAGTCAGGGATGTTGGTTGGGTGAGTAGTGACAGCTGTGTCCTCCACTGTCCTCCAGCAAGCTCCGAGCCTCGCTGGCAGACCCCGGGCAGCTGAAGATCCTGACGGGGGACTGGTTCCAAGAAGCGCGCTCCCAGCGGCATCGCCATGCCCATTTTGGGTCTGACCTTGTCAGGGCCTCTATCCGCAGGAAGAAGAGCGCCAGAGGTGAGGGGAGACCTCAAGGCAGGGAGGGGGGAGCTTCTGGAAGCCAAGGGTGCAGACTGTAATGTGGCAGGACTAGGCTCTGGGTTCTAATCCTGGCTGCCCCCTTACTGAGTGTCTGAGTAGCACCTCTGTGGGCTTTAGGGGTGGATGGGCATCTCCTGTGGGCCATGGCCAGTATGGGGCTTCCGGATAATGAAGGCTCACAGAATTTCTCACCTGAGCCCAGGGGACCAGGCTCTGGGAAGTGATGGTGAGGCAGAGGCTGCTGGAAAAGACACCACTGAGGAAGAGCCAGAGTCCAGGTGAGGAGGCAGAATGGAGAGGAGAGGGGAGTGCCAGTTGATCGCCCAGCCCTGAAACAACCCCCCCCCTCTCTCCTTCTAGGGTCTCCATAGAGATGGCTGCTCCAGAGAGGCACAGTGAGACCCAAGTGAGTACCCAGTGACTGGGTGAGCTAATAGCAAGCGCATTGTGGTTCCAAATGGGGTAAACACCAGGAAAGGAACCCCCATTCCTGGGAACTTGGACAAGTCTCTTCTTGCTCAGAGCTTCACCAACTGGATCAACCTGTGGCCTGGACCAAGCCTCTGAGGCACTTGTAAATGCAGCTATTAAGAATAAGGCTGTCGCTCAGTTGGCTCAGTGCTTGCCTAGCCTGCAGGAAGCCCTGGGTTTGACCCCCAGCACCTCATAAACCAGGCAAAGTGTCGAACACCTGTGATCGTGGAGCTCAGGAGGTAGAAACAGGAGGATCAGGAGTTCAGGGTCACCCTCAACTACACAGGAGACGTGAAGCCAGCCCACTACTGAAACTCTGGGGTTGGGCTGAGGTGGGCGAGGCTGAGGCCAGGGACTCAGCTGTCATGGCCCCCACCACCTGAACTCAGGCTGGCAAGTCAGGAGGGACCGGCCTTGGGATGCCAGGGTGTGAAGTACAGGCCGGACTGGTCCTGCAGCTGGTAGTCAGCCCTGCCCTAAGGGCAGCCCTACTCCAACACTGAGGTGCGCAGCAGGCTGGCGTCTCTGACCTCTGACCCTAGCATAACCCTTGACCCCTTCCTCATTAACCCCTATCATGACCTCTACCCTTTGCTTTCTTCAGGGACCAGATTTCCCCTCACCATATGTAGCCTCAAAAGCTTCAGATCATGAGGAGGAGCCCCAGGACCAGGAAGGTGAGTGGGAGGGGTGTGCTGGGGAGCAAAAGATGTGGGGCAATCGGAGGCAATTTTTAATGACCCCAAGCACCGTGTTCACCTTCCTCTTCTCCCCTCACCCACCCCCACCCCCAATGGGCAACCCCAGGTCACCACTGGGGCCTGAAGCTGACAGGTGACTAGAATTGTGAACAAGTCCCTCCAGGTTTGCTTAGGGACACACACAAGAGAGGGGCCGTGTCAGCAGCTTGTGCCCCACTCCAGCCTCCGGCCAAGGGGGTGTGCAGGTGGCAGAGACGGACCCAGCGCTGGATCCTGAGCAGAGGGCGGAGCAGGAGTCCTGGCCATCGCCAGCCCAGGTAGGCGGGAGTGGCCAGTGGCTGTTCTCAAGACCGGGAGTGGATTCCAGACCGAGAGTGTGCCTGCCCCGGGAATGGGAACCGTCGGCGACACCTGCATGGTCCAGGGAAATAGAGAGTACCCTGTCACTTTTCTCCCCTCTCCAGATCAGGGTGACCCCCGAGGTCCAGGAGAATGGGGAAGAGGCCCCAGGGCTCGGCCCTTCCCTCGACCGCATGCTCAGCAGCAGCTCCTCTGTGTCCAGCCTCAATTCCTCCACGGTGAAGGACTAGGGAGGGGCTGGGCGGGGTGCCCTGGCAAGTCCCGCCCTGGGAAGCCTGCCTGGGACCCTGACCTCCCACCCCTCCCCGCCCCCCGCAGCTGAGCGGCAGCCTGATGAGCCTGTCGGGGGAAGCCGAGGCTGGCACGGTACAGGTGCGGGGCTCCGTGCACTTCGCGCTGCGCTACGAGCCTGGCGCTGCCGAGCTGCGTGTACAGGTGATCCAGTGCCAGGGGCTGGCCGCCGCCCGGCGTCGCCGCTCCGATCCGTGAGTGCCTACCCTACAGGTGGGCTGCGGGGGGCTTGGGGGCGCCAGGGCACTCCAAGACCCAGCCCACCACTCAACTTGCCTTGGCCTCAGTTTCCTCCTCTTCAAAATGGGCAAGACGATGTTATTGGGAGGCGTGCTGAGTTGGATGCCTGTTAATTGATTAGCACCAGACCTCCGCGCGGGGCGCTGTGTTCTGGATGGTGGCTGGGGATGTCCCCAGAGCTGGACGAAGGCTCTGGAAGAGTCCTCTCCTTACCTCCAGCCTTCACCTCCCTCGCCCAGCTACGTGAAAACCTACCTCCTCCCGGATAAGCAGAACAAGCGCAAGACGTCGGTGAAGAAACGGAATCTGAACCCGATCTTCAACGAGACTCTGCGGGTGAGGCGATAAGGGTGTTGTCTCCCCGCAAATGAACAGGGTGCCCTTTGCCGCGGGGTGAGTGGCAGGGTCCGCCTGGTTAATCTTGGGAGGCTCTGGGCCTTGTTCTGTGAGGGGAATGACGGGGCCGCTGCTGGTTCGGGCAATCCCAAGGCTGACAGTTTGTACTGGGCCGTGATAAAGAGACCCTAGTTAACCCAGAATCAGGATCCCATCCTGGAAGGGAGTGTAGTGAGACCAGCTCCAGTCAACAGGTGTGCCACAGCCCTGCCAGGGCCTCCAGCGCACTCGACTGAAACTTACCTCCTGTTCCCAGCACCCCGTCCAGCAGGCTGACCTCCCAGGCCGCATACTGAGCCTGTCCGTGTGGCACCGCGAAAGTCTGGGTCGCAACATCTTTCTGGGAGAGGTCGAAGTGCCCCTAGACACGTGGAACTGGGACTCTAAGGCTACCTGGCTCCCCTTGCAGCCTCGGGTAAGGGCTGGTGTGTGGTCACGGACATCCCTCCTGTTCCCCACAGGCCACCAGGCACCTGCAGACCGTTCCACAGAGCCTCGCTGGGCCTCATACTGGCTGTTATCATTAATTAGGCAAAGCTTGCCAGCCAGGGTGCCCCTTCCCTGGGAGCGTTGCCCATCGGGATCCTCAGTGGAGACCCTGTCGCCAGCCTTTCTGCTCCTAACCTCCATATCCTAACTGCCTCTTGAGACACTACCCCGTGGCCTGTTTCACCGCTGACAGGCCCACTCCCGGCTTTTTTCAGGTTCCTCCATCTCCCGATGAGCTCCCCAGTCGTGGACTGCTTTCTCTGTCCCTCAAGTACGTCCCTGCCGGCTCAGAGGGTAAGTGACTGCTCTGGGAGAAGCCAAGCTGGACAGGCCCCTGGGAGGTGGGAGATCAGTTCCATGAGGTGGTGGTCTGAACTGGAGTGTCCCCACAGGAGGAGGACAGCCTCTGAGTGGAGAGCTCCACTTCTGGGTGAAGGAGGCTCAGGGCCTCGTGCCACTGCGGCCAGGATCCCTGGACACTTACATACAATGGTGAGAGGCAGTGTGACATGTCACTCAGTACCTTCCTTTTGCTCCCAACCTCCGACCAACCTGTCCCTCCCATCAAGATCAGTCAACTTGAGCAGGGGTGGAAGTGATCAGCTGGGCAAAGGATTGGAGTTAGGGGCAGGCTGGGCATCGGTTGGTGGGGTGCTTGCTTGGCATGCATGAGGTCCTGGGTTGAATCCCCACAAAGTACAGAAACTGGGAGTAGAGGCAGAGGTCATACATTATACATGGCTACACAGGGTATATAAGACCCTGTCTTAAAATAAGAGTTTATTAGCCGGGCGGTGGTGGCGCATGCCTTTAATCCCAGCACTCGGGAGGCAGAGCCAGGTGGATCTCTGTGAGTTCGAGGCCAGCCTGGGCTACCAAGTGAGCTC